TGTAATTTAAACCTCATTTTGATGACTGTTGGCCTAGTGATTATAGATTCTGTTCCAGTATTGTTTTCAATAATAGTGTTACTATAGCAACTAATATAAATGCACGCTTCAAGGGGAAAAAACAAAAACCTCTCCATGATTGTGTTGTATATTGGGATGAAATTTCTCTTTATTAACTTTTATAACTTACTCTAGACTTTGCAAAATTGTCTTTCCCTAAGAAATATTCTGAGGATCCTGTTACAAATACCTGTTTGCCCTCATTAATCTCATCATCTGTTTCTTGTATTGACAGTATGCTGCAGTGAATTTAAAAGGGAAAGATGTAAGAAACAGTTTGTATCAGAAATCCTCTAAATTCTTTCTCTTATTTGCCTCTTTCACAGCACTCTGGAGGATAGAAAGATTTCTCCTTTCCTACTTCTGAAATGTACAAATGACTCTTGTTCCTATAAAAATCAGTTAACTTACATGTAGTGTCTTTTCTTTGTTAAAATGAATATAGTGGTAAACATATTTGTCTAAGTCCTTGAGTCTTGTTGGTATAATTATTGTATGAACAAGTGGTTGATACACATTAAAATTTATCCAAAACTATTTCACTGCAGACTTGGTAATAATTAAAAACTACAGATGACATGATTAAAAGATGATAAAGTATATCTATATAATGTACACACCTTGCAGCCATTAAAAATGATGAAAGTTTGTATCTGATATAAAATGATGTCCATGGAAAGATACCAAGGTGGAAAATTAGGTTTCAAAACTATAGTGCAGTCCTATTTTTATGTAAAAATGTGTGGAGGAATATACAACAGATGTTACTAGTAGTTATCTCTAGGTTATATGATAGGATATTAGCATCATTTCCATTAAAAATTTTTAAAAATTCTTTGAAAAGAGGGAGTGTCATAGTCAGTAGAACAATATGGTTGGTTTTTTTGCCTTGTTTTAGGAAAACGGTCCAAATTTTTTTTAATGATACAAAACTAAGTCACATGCACTTCTCTGACTTGTTGGCATTTTAGTTACCTGTGAGTCAAAATGAAAGTTACTGCATAGGCAGAAGCTGAACCTCTGTCATATTCTGACCTTTATTAGGCAATCATGTTTGACTTGATAGCCTAGATCTCAAATCTGGAATTAGTGGGGAGAAAACACTTAAAGGCTTTAGAAATGGGATTTCCTAAAATGAGTATCTCCTGAAGATGAAAGCGGTAAAATAGTTCATGTCAGGTTTAGGCTAAGAATGAACTGGTCTTTCATAAGTTTGTGTCTAAGAATTGTGTTTGTTTCAGTTTAAATATTTTATTTTATTAAAAAGTTACAATTCTCCAAGGAAGACATACAAATGATCAAAAAGCACATGAAAAAATGTTCAATATCACTAATTATCAGAGAAATGCAAATCAAAACTACAATGAGGTATCACCTCACACCAG